GTAAAAAGTCACAATATTTCTGGATCGAGAAATAATAAACATACAGTTGCTGATAATGAGCAAAAACTTCGTTTCCTCCTTATAAAGAATCCTGCTTGCAAACTGGAGGTTGGATCCTTCACCTACACTCAAGCAAATTGCAGTTTACGGTACCTAGTGCTTACCAGCCAGCTGATTCTTCTATTAGAAATTGTGTGCGTGCCAAAACATGGCCAATTTAAGAAAATAGTAATTTTTCAAGCCCTCTACCCTTAAGTTCTCTATTGTGTCTTGTTCAAGTTGTAAATTTGTTCTGCGTTTCAGTTACAGCTTGAGACAGCCTCTTATTCTTTCAGCTGACACATATACATGTACATACTGTCCTGTTAAAAACCATATCATCCATATTTAATGTAATCTAAGTGATTTTTTTGTGTGTTAGGTAGAAGCTTGCTCCATTTAATGCATATTTTTTGACAAATCAATGAAAACTTATTTATTTTCAGCTGTTGGTAAATGGAAAGACTCCTGGGGATGTCAGGCAGCAGATACATGCAGATCTGTTCACCAGTTAATAGCTTAATAGCAGATTTACTGGTGATAGCTGCTCTTTCTGCAGGCACCATCTCCTTTTTTCTGTTGTAAACAATTAAAATCAAGCCATAAAATTATTTAATTACACTGAGAAAGTACATTTGTGTATAATCCCTTTGAAATGAATAGATTCTGTCTGATGAATAAGATAACAGATTTACTTTAAACATTTCTGATTGTGATTGCATATTATATATATCACATCTTAAACAATGAAATACTCAAAATTTCAAATTTTTTTTCTTCTAGTTCAAATGCTTGTTATGTCCTCTGTAGTTTTCACATGTTTCTAAATGATAAAATATTGCTAATGTCTCAGCTTGGAAGGTGCCTAAATCACTTAGCCACAGTATAAAAATGAGATTTTCACCATGAGAATTTATTTATTTGCTCACACCAGATATTCATCTCAGCAGCAATCTATTTCCAGCATTACTAAGGGAAAGATAGGAAGCAGGAAGTGAATCTCCTTTTGATAAAACCTCCAGGCTTCCAGGAGTATCTGTTTAAAAACTTCAGCTGAAAGTTAGCAATATATTTAATAGACTAAGTGTTTAATAGTTTTTTCAAAGTGAAAAAATAAGGTGTCTGTACTTTGTCCTTGTTCATAAGAAGTTGTCCTAGTTCTTAACCAGTGATGCCTTTATGTCTTTGTAGAAAAATGTGAAATATCATTCCCTAGTATGGATCTCTGCTGGTATGTTTTGTTCAAAAGAAAAGAAAAAAGGAAAAAAATGGAGGAAAGAAGGGAAGGGAACTTGAAAAGTTCTTCTGGTCTTGCAGTTCCAGTTCATACTCTTTCAATTAGAGATACTAAAAGCTCTATTCAGTGTCATGAGAAAACCCTGCCATATTGCTACATATTTTCTAGAATGCTTTTTTAAGTAATTGCCATCATTACTACTGTCACCCTTCTCGGCTCTGAGTCCAGTTTTGATTTGGAGACACCTAATATTTAGACAGACGACTGGGTCACATGGCTGCTCTAACATGGTGACTGCAGAAGATTGCAGTATTATGTCTGCTCCAAAGTGTTAGTACACTAAGTGTTAGGAAGATATGATGGCAAACATTACTGTGAAAATGCTGAGAGGCTTCTACACTGAAACTTTTCTTTATGGAGAACTGATTTTGAGCAAATGTACCAAATTCAAGTGTCTGTGAAAGAGATTCTAGAAAAGTAGGTAATAACAAATAATATAGAACAAAGGACAGTCACCAAGATTTATAAAGTTATATAAATATGAAGTTGCTGAGCTACCTACCACAGCAGTAAACTAGCTCAGGTATACCAAATAAGTCCTCCTTAGCACTGGAATATCCAATCTAGAACTCACATAGTCAAAACTATACACATATTTAAAGTAAAGATAAGCAAAATTTATTTGGAGAGATGACTCATCTTACGCATTAGCAGAGTTATGGTTTCTAAGCTAGACATTACTCAAAGCAAAGTTCTCTCATGTTAGCTCTGATTGCTAGCAGTCAATGTGTTTACTTTACTAGTTTCCTTCTAATTTTTTTCCATTGTTTTTACCACAGTTGGACTGCCTCACTTCTGAGGCTTGACTGTACATTACATTTTTAATAGTGAAATACTTAGTCAATAGTATGAAATATCTATCTTTAGTAAAAAATTACTTTTGTGAAAATCTTTGGGATCAGGTGAGGAGGGAGTTTCTCTTTTCATTTTAGTGGAGATTATGCACTCAAAACATGAAATACAGATTGAACAAACTGAACTACTGACTCTTATGCATTCTTGCTGTACTACATTTCCACCACATATTTCCTCTATTTTTTTTTGAAATGTGCTTTAGTTTTTGAATAGACTTTTGGGTTAGATACTGGCCCAAGGCCAAGGGACATAGAAGAAGTTATCCTAATGTCTGATTATCCTCAGTAAAGAACTGTAACTCAGGGTCTCCATTTTCTCTTGTCTCCCTTGCCCAATCAGATAATAATATGCGATTGATCCTACCTACTTCAATGAGAAGAACTATGGAATGAAGAAATTAGTAGAGTTCTGGATTCATTCCTGATTTTTTGGTATGGGAGAAAGATGGATGTTAAGTAGACATTTGAGGAGTACTGTTCAGTCTTAATTTGAGTGTATCCTATATATACTTTTACTGCCTGTTTCCCTGATTTTATTGTATAAGAATATATACCAGCCTGTTCCTCGGAAATCATTGGGACTTCTTGCAAAACAAAGTTAAGTAGGGCTGGCAGAATTAGGTTATGTGTTTTCAACTGGCAGGCTGAGAAGAGTACCTCAGCTATCAGGAAATGTAAATTTGAAGGTAGATTTCAGACAAGAGGGAACGATAAGACAGAGGTGCTGAATGATACGCTCATCAGATCAAGTTGAAAAGTTTATTTTGTGAGTAGGCCCGGATGAATAGTCCAGAAGTTCAAGTGATGAATCTTTGAGGTACATAAATATTTTAGGAAGAAATATCAGAAATCTTATCTGCCTCCCTCCCCATTCCTTAAAAATAAATACAAGAATTAGAATCCATCCAGTCTGTGTTCGTTTGTATTCTTACTCTAGGGTAGCTAAATTCATCTTTTTCCCCTTCCTCCAAAACTTTAAAATATAATTATCTTCATTCATAAATAAACAAGATATTTTTCTTAGATGAAAATTCCTGATGAGTTTCAGAACTAAAACTAGCTAATGTCATTAGTTTGTACATAAGGCCATCATTGTTGACATGCTGAAGGAAACTGAAGCTTGGGATTATTTAATTATTTCATAGAAATTACATTTTTTTGGTCAGTGCAATGAGTTGTTTTAAATAATGGAAGCACAGAGTCTCCTGTTAAAAATATGACACTGTGGGTGGAAACACAGGAAGATTCTTTTCAAGCTGAGTAACACAAATTTGTTCAGCAGAAAAAGGACAAAGAAATTGTGCTAAATATTTGCTTATTTATTTATTAGACAGACTGAAAACTGATAGTAACAGTTGCCATGGGTCTTCCCTAGAATGATTCACATGAGTTTTTTCACTTTCTATGTCATATTCCTGTATTAAAATTGTATTCATGAGATAAAAGCCAGGCAGAGGTTAGTGTTTCTTCATTAAAATGAAGTGCCTACCAGAATACCCAGCTGACTTAGGAGAAGAAAAGCAATACTCTTAGTTTGGGCCAGATGCACCCAATCAACTAATAAATGACTGATTTTGTGTACCTACTGTGTAAAACTATCACATCCTGATGAGCAAAATAATAAAATATTATGGTTAAAAATTAAATAGAACTCTTTCTAAAATGCGAAAATTTCACTATAATGGCTGAAAATAAAATATTTATTAAAAAAAAAAAAAGAAGTGTGGAGCTGGATAATCAAAATGAGTATATAGAAGGACTGGCACTTTTGTGTATAAACTCATGCATCCTGAAAGCAGAAACATGCAGGTCTGAAGTCAGACAGCTGAGTGCAGTTTTGGCACTTTTATGACTAGAGCTATTTTGAGCGCTTATCTGTTAGCAAGAAGAGGCTGACAGGGAGGATTTATGCAGAAGTAACTGGGCCAGGCACAAGAAGAGGAAACATGAACAGACATTGTCATGATCTGACAAGAACTGCCCCAAGCCTCCAAGGCTTTCATTTAATCTGAACTCAAATCCACAAAGACAATTGAGAAAAGCATTTATTTACAAAAGAGAAGAAAATAGCTTCAGTATATTGAAAAATAAACTTTTGGGCAAGGGGAGATCTAGGAAAGCAATTTATCCACAGAAATGTCCCACCCATCTTACTGGAAAAGTGACACCTTGCAAATGAAATGCAAGTAGCCAGATGTTTAAGAGCAGTCAGTTTCAGCCCAGTCAGAAAATGTGATTTCACTACAGACATTTAGGCTGAAAAACTAGAATGGCTCAGAAAATAGGTTGCATATTTCACAAAGAAGGACTGAAATGTTTAGTGTTTTCCCTGAGGAACTTGGACACTTTTTTGATTTATTCTCATATTTACAAAGCAAATCTGAAATATCTAAAAAACCAGCAAAGTGCATGCCATCAAAGTCCCAGATGGTTCTAAATAAGTAATAAAAAAGTGATATAGCATAGATGGATGTCTTTCTTGCTCCATCTTTTTCTTTTAGCTCCTCTCTAATAGGTGAGTTACATTCCTTTAAATTGAAGGAGCAAGTTCATTACCATCTCCTCAGTAACAATTCAGACTGGAGGCATTATTGTGTCCATTCCGACTGAACCTTTTTCATCCTGTCCCAGTGGTTCTCTCTCCATTGAGGGATCTTAGTTAAAAGAGATGCCTTTTAAGGGAGTATTTGTTACTGTAGTCAAGGTGAGCTCATCAGATATAATGTTTTTGGGGCATATTCACTAATTTGTTGCTGAGATATGTTGAGATATAGAAAAATTTAGGTGAATGTATGTTTTCTTTTTTTCAGGTATATAAATAGTTAATAATTACCTCTTGGAGTCACCTTGACTGTCTCTTCATCTTCCTTAATAGCTGAATTTAGACACCACTCCTTTGCTTTTGTCAAGAATTCTATGAAGTTTTACAAGACACATCTATGGTTAGTGGAGCAAATGTTTTTTATAAACCTCCTCAGTGTGGAATATGCTGCGTGAACGTAATAAAAGTTAATATTAGACTACTACAAAGCAATTCACATCATACAGCATAATCCATTATAATATATACCCTGTAACATTACTTAGAACAGTACACTTAGAAATTCTAAACCAAAACAGCTTGTGAACAGTGTGGAAATTGTCTAGTATCCCTTCTTTATGCCATTGATGCAGTATTCTCCAGAAACAGTCATGAAATAGCGTGGAAATCATTTTCTCAGCCTTGATACCTCCTAAGTAGTTTTTTATTAAAAATAGAAACTCTTATAAATTATTCTTTGACCTAATAAATATCAATCATTATAATAAGAATGAAATAGCTTTTTTCCTAGCTTTAAAAATAGTTGGGTAGGAAAAACTTTTCCTCACTTCAGAAAAATTTGGACTAGGGCAAATTTCAACTGAGTCATTCTATTCAGATATAGAAGCAGCAATATCTAAAAATGGACAGATATCCAAAACATTTCATCTATTGAATTGCAAGATTGAGATTGCTGCATGTTTTCTCCTTCATATTTGAATTTTCATTACGTAAGAGATAGCAGTAAGGCAAAAGAAAAAAAATAATAATTTCACTGAGGAGAAATTCAAAACTAAGTGATACAAACGTGCTGAAACCCTTCCCAACTAGAGTTATTCTGTGAATTTGTATTGTTCTACAGGCAAAAATTTCATAAAACTCTGTATCGTTGGCCCGGTTCTCAAGGTCCATCACAATGCTATGGCTTTAAAGAGCTGCAGTGCAGTGGAGTGTAAAGAAGAGAGCATCCTCTGATATAATCAGTTGTCCTTGACTGAGGACCTAAGCACAGAAAGTTGAGAGCTAGATTTAGGATTAATTGTAGAAGGAAACTTCAGAACTGTGTGGCTGAGTTTTGTGACACCTAAGTCAACTCTCTGAAACTATACCTTGTAGCTAGTCTGCAGCTTAGGGGTGCATAAGTCAGAGGTAGAACTGGATCAAAATTTAGTGTTACTTATCCTATGTTTGTACACTTTACCCCATGTGCCAGTTTCAGGTGGTAGGATTTCTCAAGAATTATGCAAGAAGACTTCTAAAAAACAAGGAAACCTTTTTCACAGATTTTTCTAGCATCTCTAACTTAAATTAAGCATGATTAATGTAAGCCTGTCCATTTAATGTGATGAGTAGCATCTCAGATTGTTTCAGGAAAGAAACATTGGCTGAGATCCTAAGTCTGGACACGCTAGCTGTAAGCTGGACATGCTAGTTTTTGGTGACCTATTCTAAAGGTGATTTTCTTATCCTAATACTTTTTCAAAATCAAACCATTAATCAATCCAAATCCATTTCAGGTCTGGAATCCCCCCCCCCCACCCC